TAGCTGTTATAATAATACATTTTAAATGTCTCTTTGAAGCTGTCAGTTTCTTGGTAACGTTTAGAAATTCCCCATTGTCCACAGGGTCAAGTCCAAATTCTTTAGCCTATGATTTGAAGTTCTTCAGTCATCTAGCCTCAATGTACCTCTCTAATTTTATCTCCCACTATTCCTCAACTTAAAACTTTCATCCTGAAAAACTGGTCCCTCAAGCATAGAATATGCATTCAATCTTTACATTACAGAGCTCCCTCCCCAGAATGCCCTCCTCATTCCTTTCCACTTGACTGAGGCCTGCCTGTCCTTCAAAGACTCACATCAGGCCTCTATTCCCAGTGAAACTTGCTTTGTTTCCCCAAACACATAATAATTTGCCCATTAGACTCTCCTGTCCCACTTACTTTGTGAATTCTCATGTTGGCCCTTTTTATTTGCTACCTTTCATTTTTGTTTTCTTTTTAATGTTTATGTTTGGTTTCCTCATTCTCCCCATGTTATAAGCATCCAGCATTGTGCTTGGCTTCAAAAATTGCTTAAGGTTGCTGAAAATAATGTTGGCTGATGTAGGCCTTTGCCTGTTGTCAAGGACATGGTAGGTACGCATAGGATTTCTGGACAAAAAAGAAAATGGTATCAATTATCACTCCCTCGGTTTTAGGGGCCTCTTCTTTGAGAAACCTCAGAAATTTGTAAGTAGCACACAGAAAAAAATCTCTGGTAGTAGCACTAATGTATCTTGGAGATGAAATAGTCATATGCAAATAATTAGGCATAAAACCCAGCAGGATTGAATCTGGGCCCATTGCAGGCATTCTTTTATTCCTTGCCTTTGGCCTACTTTGGCATCTGGCCAAATAACTCTTTGTCTCTGGGAACATGTGTTCCTGGTTTCATCTGCTTGACTTCCAGGTCCCTTCCCTGCTCTAGAGGCTGCCCGTTATTACAATGACCCTTTTTGATTTCTTGGCTTCTGACCCAAGTTCCTGAATCTGTACCTTATTTACCTGCACTCCTCTCCTGCCTCCAGGTCTAGCCAATATATCCTCAACATTATGATTTCCACTCATTGAACACGCTGAGACTTCTAGTCAAAGACCAATATTGAGAGTCTTCTGAGATTTACAATTTCTAATATTTGAAGTTTCTCTATTCTGGTTTTGCTATGTCTTTACAGAGGCTCCTGCACAATGACATTAAACAAAATTCTACTAATGTCAGGCTCAGTAGCAGAGGATTAGCTGATGATTCCATGATGTTCTCATGGCAGCCATCTTGCTTAAAGCTTTCACTCTCTGAAGCCAATTTTCTGATAATGGAGATAGTACAGCAGTGTTTATGCAGTTTTATTCCCTTATCTTGCTGTATATAATTAACTGTGGTCTGAAATTAGAGCATGAGTTGAACTGTATCTAACCAATTCAGGAGGAATTTGATGATGCTCATACCAGTGGTGAAGACACGCTCAGGTTTCTCTTTCATGTGCCTTGGGAAGCTTTTAGGTGACCCTCTTGAATCCATTTCCCAGGGTCAGATTTGGCTACTGGTTGAGGCCAATAGGCATCAGATGTTCATTACAAAAACCTTTCTCAGCTCCCCAAGGTCAATCTTGCCTCTGAAAAGTAAGAAACATTAAGCATGGGGCAACTGAATATCCACATACAAACGAATGAAAATATACCCCTACTTCACTCCATATGCAAAATTAACTAAAAAATAGATCAAAGATCTATATATCAGAGCTAACACTATAAAATTCTTTAGAGAAGAATAGGTGTAAATTCATAGATTGGGCATTGGTTTCTTAGCTATGACATCAAAAGCACAAGCAACCAATGAAAACATAGATAAATTGATTTCATTAAATTGAAGACTTCAGTACTTCAAAGGACACCATCAAGAAAGTAAAAAGACAAACCACAGAATGGAAGAAAATATTTGTAAGTCATATATCTGCTAAGGGTCTAGTATTTAAAATATATGAAAATCTCCTAAAACTCAGCAATAAAAGACAACCCAATTTAAAAATGGGCAAAAAATTTGAATTAGGCATTTCTGAAAAGGTATACTGGCTAGGGCTGGGAACCATTGTGTGGTACTTACGTTGGAAACATGATCCTTTCAGTGTGTCCTGATAATTTATGCCTGGCTGCTTCCCAAGAATCCTTTCTCATGATTATAAAATGGGCAGGTGCTTGGACCTCTATTGTATTGGTTATAAGATTGTGCCTCAATCAGTGGATGATCATAAGGCATTAGGAAAAAGCAGGAGAAAAGGTCAACAACACAGTTTTTAAAAACATTGTCCTTGGTAGTGTTGGACAGAGCCAAGGTCTAGGTCTGTCAGTGCCTTTGCCATTTTGAGCAAATTATAAAACGTCACTGAGCCTAAGTTTTCTCATCTGTAAAATTGGAATATGATGTAAAATTTTTAAAAATAAGAATAAAACAAGATAATATATGGAAAGAGTTGACATAAGTTACTAAAGCAAAGTGTTTTCTAATTCTTTTGCGGGAGGCTGCTGGAGGGCTGAGGGATGCAGCCTGACCCTCCTTCACACTCTGGTCCAGACTGCTGGGTGAATGAGGCCCACGTGGCTGCGGCTGCAGTCATGCTCATTGGGCCTGCAGAGACAGCCAGCTGGGCTTGCTCTCCAAGCCAACCATGGTTTGTTTGTGTCTACTTTTTGTGCATCTTAGATCTTACCTCAGTTGTTATAGTAACTCATAGAAAAGAGGAAATTTATGTTTCCCAAGAATGCTTGGGAAATTGTGCACAGAAATTGCTGGCTGTGCTATGCATGTTCTTTCATCTTATTATGACTGCTACCAAAAAATAAACGCAATGAGTGTGTGCCATCTGCTAGTAATAATTAAAAACAATAATGTGAACAGAGCGTGCTTCCACTAGTCCTAGAGAGCTAGAAATGTATGATTTGGGACAAATTATTATTTCATCTTTCTCTCTTTTCCCTCTGTCTTTTACCCACATACTGTCTACCTGTACATTTTAAGGAAATACGCCAGGTGTACTGGTTAATAATGTGGATTTTGTAATCAAAGGAAACCCGATAATTTCAAGAGAAACATCAAAAGTGCTTTATTCAAAGTAATGTCCATTGCTAGCTACAAATTTCCCCATCTTTACGGTAATTTGTGGATACCGTCCCAATAGAACTTTTCTTGTTTTGAGGCAAACCATTCAGAGATCCAATTTTCCAATTATTTGTGAGTTTCAAAGTGCTGCTCAGAAAGTGCGTGTGCCATCCATCAGAACAAGTGGGAATCTAAAGGAGCAAGGTCTGGTGAATACGGAGGGTGGGTTAATACTTCCCAGGTAACATCTTTTAATGTATCTTTAACTGGTTTTGAAGTGTGTGATGGTGCATTATCATGAAGCAAAATTACTTTGCCTTGTCTTCTGGCCCATTCTGGTCATTTTACAATCAAAGCGTGGTTTAAATTCACCTGGACCTTTGTCTTTCACATCAAAATCATCACTTTTAAAAGCATTTAAACCAGTGTTCACAAGTATCTTGAGATGGAGCATGTTTATCATAAGCTTCCCGAAGTGTAATATAACTTTCAGTAGCACGTTTCTTCAAAATAAAGTAATAAATTAAAACTTCCCACAAATGCTCTTTTTTTTGGCATGAAATTTGACATTTTTTAAGTGTAAAAATATCTATGATGTTAACACTGTCAGAAAACTTGACATATGAAGTTTTGAAGCTTGTTGTAAGTACAACAAAATAGCATACATATCAAATCGCATATATAATATGCGATCAACATATGTGTAACTCCATCTATTGAAGAAAATCCTCATTATTCACTGGTACACCTGGTAATAGGATGTGTTCAATATTAATACTAAATGTATATACAAAAAATATTGTTCTAGAAACTGTCATAAGCTATATATGGCTGTAAAATATGTATGTATGTACACATAATTTTTACATAATATGTATGTGGTTCATATACATTATCCATAACAGTCCTAATAGTAAGTGCTAGTAATATCTCCATTTTACAGATGAGGAAACTGAGGTTGAGAGGTTAGATCACTCGTTCAAGATCACACACACAGCTAGATGGTGTGACTAGTGTTTGTGTGATTGACCACCAGACTGTTCTGCCTCCATGATTGGATGTTTCCTGGGTGACTCAGGAGGCACTTTATGCTTTTGCTGTAACTCAGAAATCACCATCGAGAACCGTAGGTAGGAGTTAGGTTTCAGTGGGAAAAGCACAGACCCGGACTCAGGCCAATGGTATTTCTTAAGTTCCTCATCTATAAGGTGGGGATGATGATAACATTTGCCCATCCACCTCATAGAGGTGAAAGACCCCTAAAACACTTCAAATCCTACATAAATACTAAGAAATGATTGTTTACATGGTCATGGTTCGTTTGGGAATTCCAAAGTAGAATTTTATCACTGTTATCCTAGTGTCCTCCTCACTCCTCCGTGCGGTATCAGGAAGTCTTTAAACAGATTCACATGCTGTTCTGTGTCAGTTACTTTTCTGGAGAAATGAGAGGTGTTACACTCCCCCTTGGAATATCTTCTTATTTTTGTCACAGAGAACATGTTACTCCTCTCTCTTTTCTTCACATTTGAGAAGCATATATTTCTTTTGTCCCTTTTACCTAAGAGACTAGAATTTTATATTACAAACGAAAATTCTCCTTATGAATTTAAATCAAGCAAATTCAGAGATGCTCAAAATGGAAGGGGTCTTATCTGAGCTAGACCAAGACCTTTGTTTTATAGATAGAAAAACCAAGGAGTCAGATGAGGGTCCCATCTGATATCACCCAGCAAACTAGGGCAAGAACCCAAGTGTCTTGAAGGTCAGTTCTACTGGCTTACCCTGACCCTTGTACTGTAAACGGGGGGTATTTGGGGTTTGGTGTAGTCCTTTGTTTGATCACTGATAGCCCTTCTGCATGGAATGGTTTCCCTCTCAAAGCATGTGTACTTTGTTACTTACAGGCGGAGACTACACAAACTGGGAGTGTCGAAGGTTACCCAGGTGGACTTCCTGCCCAGGGAAGTAGTGTCCTACTCCAAGGAGACCCAGACTCCTCTGGCTACACATCAGTCTGAAGGTGAGCTATGTCTTTTATTTACTTTCCATATTATCTTTGGAGAAATTGCCCAGGAGTCACATCCTTCTTGTTGATTTCATAGTTTACCGTACGAGATCTTTACAGGTCACAAACATAATGACATGCCAAGGCTTACATCTTCTTTGTCTCTAGAGAGGGAATCCAGTGGTTCTCTTCCAAGGACCCATGAACTTTAACATGGATAACTTAGCGAGATCCCACTTTGTCAAAACTGTGTGGGAAGCAGGGGGAATCATCAAAGGGTGATATAATAGAAACTGATCTGAATGTTATCAATAAGAAGAGTGTGTACATTAAGATTCATCATTTGAAGGAGTCAGCCAACTATAGTATACCACCTGTTCCTCAAAATAGTGTTTTGGAATCCAGCCACACCCAGTTGTGCATGTTGATATGGTTGCTTTCTGGCTACTATGGTAAGGTTGAGTAGTTGTGACAGAGAATTTATGGCTCACAGAGCCCAAAATCTTTACTGTAATCTGGTGCTTTACAGAAAGACTTTGCTGACCCCTGATTTGCTTTGCTAATTCAGAAGACAACACATAGAGTTTCTTGCCATTATTTAAAAACCTTTACAATGCAAGCTTATCAGAGGTGTATGGGAATTGAATCCACACTCCTTCATATATACAGGAAAACATCAAGTGGAAAATTTGCATTCAATTCTCAGTGGATAAAAATATATACATACATGAATAAGAGAAGTTAAAGCTGATAAATCAGAATGCTTCCTGGAAGTAAAAATTTACACCAAAGCGAAAGAGGGACTTGTGTGTACTTAAAATAGGAAAGCACAGATTGCAGAGCAGCATTATTGTTATAGGCAAGCTCGTCCTTTTCTTTTTTTCTTTTCTTTTTATATTGTTTTGCTGTTTGGTGTGCTCAAGAGGATGTCAGAAGTCTGGTTTTCTGTTGTTATGTAGTCAATACTGTACAAAAGTCGTGAGAATGAAAAATGGTTCCTATTTCCTACATGGTTTACAGCAAATATATAAATTAGTGCAGTTTGGTTTGTGCAAGCTAGAGTTTTTCAGTTTCACTTTTAAACACATAATGTCAACAGCAAAGTGAAATCGATGCCTGGAAGTAGAGGGTTGCCTACAGGCCTTCTGAGAACCTCTCTTGGGTAATGCTTGCTGGCCTGGGGTGATTCTCTGGTAACAGGGACTCCATTTTTCAAGTCTGCTATTGAAAGTTTTTAGAAGCAAACAAGTAGCTCCCTCTGGTGGTGAAATATTAAACCACCCACTTCAACAAAGTGAGACCTGTACTATTATAGTACACTGAGTGGCAAGGTTATTATTTATTATCTCTGAACGCATAATAATATGGCCACTCAGTGTGTGTGTGTGTGTGTGTGTGTGTGTGTGTGTGTGTGTGTGTTAGTGGCCCAGTGCATGAATTTGTGCATGGGTGGGGTCTGGCCAGCCTGGCCAGGGAGAGGGGACATGGGCGGTTGGCCAGCCTGCCTGCTGGTCTAACTCCTGGTTGAGGGGACAATTTGCATATTAGCCTTTTATTATATACAGGATATACACTGAGTGGCCAGATTACTTTGGGTTCAGAGATCATAATAATCTGGCCACTCAGTGTATATTAATGTGGCAGGAAAGACAGTTAGAAAAGCCTTGGGGAGCCCATCTAGTCTCTCCTTGGGCCTCCAGCAGATTGGGAAGATTCATTAAAAAACAACCTCACCGCCCAACCCAAACGTTTGTTTGAGTTAATTTACTGCCAGAGGTATTTGCAGACTGTAGCCTGAGGTATGTTTATTTAGCCCCAAATTTGACTCATAACATAAAGTTATACAACTGAAATAAGAGAAGGAGTGAATTCTTGTTTTTTAAATGTGTAGACTCCAGATATTGGAAAAGGCACAGAAATATTTACAAGGGAAGATAAATTAAGGATGAACAGGCATCCACTCTAAACTTTTAAACTGGACACATCAAAAGGAAAAGCCTGTGCATTCATTTTACGACTGCAAAGAGAGCCCTCGTTACACTGCGGTCCAAGCAGCAGGAGAGAAGGCATTTATTTCTTAGATATTGGCAGAAGTCTGCTCTGTTTTGTTAACAAGACTCATAGAGTATTCTGTGGTGATGGGTGTGTCAGTGGTTCAGAGTCCACAATACAGACCTAAATTCAAAACTAGCTACGGTAGCTCTAGACATGAAAGCAGTCCCCGAAGAGTTTAGACAGGAAGAACGTTAGATTTGGGTTCAGCAGAGTGTCCTGTCACCACAGATGATTCCTTGACCTCTGGCTGCCTGGAGTCACCCAGCCTCCTGGCTGATGAAGGAGCCTGGGGCTTGCCTTTCACCTGCGCTGTGAAGAGAGATCGCAGAGGGAAGCCAGGGACAGCGGTGGGAGAGTAGGGGCAGCAAGGATCTACCATGAGGCAGATTTGGGTTGGCTTCCAGTTTGGGGTCTTGAGCCCTGACAATGTTGTCATTGGCAACTGCAGCTTTTCAGAGGCAGGAAACGATGAACTACTAAATTCATGACACAGTGAGTCTCTCAAATGGACTGTCTTCAGAGTTGTGGCGTATATAAGACCTATTTTAGTTCATTACTGCCCATAGTGTATGAAGGAATGATGATTATTTTTTTAAAGTCATTAAGCGACTATGGAAAATCTAATATATTCAAACTAATGACCTCAGAGCATTGATCTAATGGAATTTTTGTGTGTTCGGTTTTTTACATGTTCTCATTTTATTCTTTAAAATGAAAGGGAAGATATTTGGAATTTGCCCAAGCTTAACTGTTTTCTCCACTGTGTACTAAAGTGAATAGTCTCTTTAATTTGTGATTATAATGGTCTGTTATGAGAAACACTCCAGAGAACAATTTAAACCAGAAAGATTTAGGAATGATGTCTGCATGAACTTTTTTTTTTTTTTAAGTCAGTTTAAACCTTCCCTCTCTGCTTATAGGTCATTAGTTGCAGAGAAAGAAGAATAGGAAACACCGTATTTGTGGGGAACAGGATCTCTCTACCCCACAAATATTTTAAACACATGCTTTTTATCCCCAAGTAGTAAAAAAGGAAAAAAAAATATGGTTCATTGACAAACTACCTCTGCCTTGCCTGTTATTAATATCTGTCTTTACTGACTATGAGGTCCTGATATTAGTTAGGAAGCCAGTCTTCTGCATCTAAATTATAGTGGGCAATAGGCATCCAACAAATGCTGCTGAGTGAGAAAGATGATCCCAGGCATCTTAGAAGTTCCAAGTTCAGTAATGACCCCTGGGAAAAAGAATTTAGTAACTCACTTTAGAAATATGCAGACCACTCTAGAGGGAGGAAAAGGGGAGGAGGTTAAGGGGGAGGAGAAAGAGATTTATATAACCTGTTGATAGTTTTGAAGAGTTCTCTGATCCTCCCCTTCTCTTCAAGATATCTTATAAATTGGAACTTAGTGACCTCATATTGGTCACCCTTCTTCTTTCACTTCACTTCCTTCCCACACCCCGTTTCTAGTATTCAAGAAAGACCATTTTTCTTGCATTTTCCAAGGTGCTGTGTAGCCTCATGACTTAATACACTTGCACATACTGTCTACCCTCCAAACTGCACTGGCAGTCACTTCACCATGGCTGAGCAGAGAGCCTTGAGCGAGAAGACCTCCCTGAATTGTAGAGAACACTTCTGGGTGAATGATTACACCATAGATTACTCCATACCCAAGGGTACCTATAATGCTCATTAGATCGTTGGACAGAAGCAATGTTGTACCCTCAGCAAGGCAAATCAAAATAAGGCTTATCCTGTCATCAGAGAGGCAGTGTGGAAGGCCCCTGGGTTTTTTCTCCTTAGTTAATAGTTCACATGTCCATTGGGCTATTCATTCCTTTTATTCTGTCTCCATACTGCCCAAAGGACTGCCAAAGACCATGTATGACCTCTTTGTAAGGTGTCTAGACCTCTGCTGCTCCCCTCTTTTTCTATATGAAGTGAGGAGAGATCAACATTAAGATTTGAGTTCCCTCTTACCCGGTTTGGCTCACTGGATGGAGTGTCAGCCTGTGGACTGAAAAGTCCCAGGTTTGATTCGGGTCAAGGGCATGTACCTTGGTTGCGGCACATCCCCAGTAGGAGGTGTGCAGGAGGCAGTTGATTGATGTTTCTAAGTCTATCCCTCTCCCTTCCTCTCTGTAAAAAGATCTATAAAATATATATTTTTTAAAAAAGATTTGATTTCTCAATTTCCCTGGCAGTTGAATTTAAAGCTTCCTACACTCCAGTGGCCCCAGGAACATAATACTTCTATAAAAAATTGCTAAAGGGCCTGGCCACATGGCTCAGTTGTTGAGTGTAGACCTATGACCAGGAGGCTACAGTTTGATTCCCAGTTAGGGCACATCCCTGGGTTGCAAACTTGGTCCCCAGTAGGAAATATGCAGGAGGCAGCCCATTGATGATTCTTTCTCATCATGGATGTCTCTATTTCTCTCCCTCTCCTTTCCTTTTTGAAATCAATAAAAATATGTTTTCAAAAATTGCCAGATGAAGGAACATTCCAGAGAATCTAAGTGGAAATATTTATTTGGAACCTAAAATTTGTAATCAGAGCATTCTTAGAGATAGCATTTCCTAGTGGGAGCCATTCCTGAAACTCCTGGAGATGACTTGGGAGAAAACAAGTGGTGTTACAATCTGACTCCAGCTCTTCTATTGGCTCCCAATTTCATGGACCTTATACTCTTTCTCTGAACTTATTATTTAAAGCAATCATATGTTTGGAGACAAGCCTTGGTGGCATCTGGGCTGCAAATTAAAAATCCCTATTAAAGAGGACACACATGAATCTTATTTTTAGCTTCCGTTCCTTAGATAAGGACTGACACGATTCCAGGGAGAGATTGACATCTGCCTTTTTTTCTTCTTATTCTTCTTGAAATATGCCTACTATTTCCCCTTTGACACTGGTTCAAAGTGTTAATCCTCTTAGAACAAACTGTAGAGCCTT